ATTTCCTGCTGCAATTCTATTCCCTTTCCCAACAGTTAAAAAAAGGTTTTTCAGTTCTGCTTTTCTTGTTTCTATTATTATGCTTTGTAGGGGGATGGGGTGGTAGGCTGCATGCCTGAGCTCCCTTCTAATTCCTGAATCCAGCACGGATTCAAATCTTGGAATAGCCAGGCTAGCTTCCTGGTGAAGTAATGACCCAACAATTATGGGTTGCTAAAGTACCAAAATAAGTGACTCAATGCCAGAGGGCTAATGGGCAGCACCCCCTCTCTCAACCTATTGGTAGTTATAAAGACAAAGGCCAGAGTTGAGGTGTGTAAGCTAGAATTTAGAAGAAAAGCTGCAGGCTGGGATGCCAGAAAGATAATCATGCCTGATTTCTGTTTGGGTGTTAATGCTGTGAGCTCTTCCATTGTAGGCTAAGGTGGCGTGCAACACTATAATAATACTAAGTTGCTTGCTATGTTTACACTGATAATTACACCAATGCGCATGTTCCAAGAGCACAGGTTCCTTTTGTACGTGAGAAACAACAGGACTCAGCAGATTCATTATTTATTTGCTATCCAACCTTTCTCCCAGTGTAGGACCTAAGGTGTATCACAGCATAAATGAAAACTAGATGCAAACTAGAGCTATCTTTGACTTTGAGCCAGTGTGGTGTAGTGGTTAAGAGCGGTAGTCTCATAATCTGGGGAACCGAGTTCGAGTCTCCGCTCCTCCACATGCAGCTGCTGGGTGACCCTGGGCCAGTCACACTTCTTTTAAGTCTCTCAGCCCCACTCACCTCACAGAGTGTTTGTTGTGGGGGAGGAAGGGAAAGGAGAATGTTAGCCGCTTTGAGACTCCTGAAGGGGAGTGAAAGGCGGGATATCAAATCCAAACTCTTCTTCTTCTTCTAAGAGCAGCACAAATAAATTGACTGAAACAATGTCCTGATTACTGGTTCTCTGGATGAGAATCACTTGGGCTTTTTTGCAGAGTAGCATATCTAACCTCCCACTCAGGCTTTGCATCCCAAAGTGAAATCATTTTCTCTTGTTCTTCTCATGTGGCCTGCTAGCCAGAGGACTTGTGGGCTTGCTACTTAGAGAGGAAGTACTTAACAGTTTCCATCTTAAACAGGTTGCAGTTGAAAATTCAACATGGTAACCTGTTGGAAAGATTCCTGGAAGTGAAGATCCAGGTTTTACTCTTTACTCCAGGTTTTTCGCTCTTTAGTGAGAGAATCCTAGCGGAGATTTAACATAGCAAAACATGCAACAAAGAAAGGCATGGAAAAATTGGCTTTAAAAAATGCCTTTTCCAGTAAATTCCAAAGTATCCCACTTTAGAATCTCCTTCCAAAGTTTCCAACTGGGGGGTACACAGATAGGCCACAGGTTTGGTAAGTTATAAAAATGGCTTACTTACAAACGCTTCAGAGGTCAGGTTCAGGTGCTCTTCCATACAGCAGTCAGAAAAGATGCGCAGACAGTAAAATGTTGTGTGGTTGCAGACTGGTAAAAGTTCCTAAACTATTGGTATAGGAAAATGCTAGTTTCAGACTCCATTCTTGTCTGAAACAAAAGAGGCTGGTTAAGGCTATGTGGCTGGAGGGAGCAGCTCAGGAATCCTCACACCTGTGGACCAGGGAACAGCTGCTTGATTGCCCATTTTCTCCCAAGTTGAGGGGAAGTGACATAGGCTAAGCCTAGTAGAACAGCTTACTCTATGGCATTAACCCCTTCATGCATTAATAAGATTCAAGCATGCTGGTTACGTGAGGATGGTTTAGCCCACAGAAACAACAGAAGGGGAGGAAAGGGATAGCAGGAGTGAGTTGGAGAAGAATATACTGTTATTTCAGTTATACACAGAGGGAACTCACGGGAACTCAGTTCCGGCACCTCTCAGGTGAGCACCAAGAGAACAAGGGAGGTGTTGAGTTCCAGCACCTTTTTTAAAAAAGGAAAATAGCACTGCTCACGACCTGCTTCTAACCATATATTGCCACTAGCTAGATCACTCTCCCACTTGTTTAACATACTCCATAATAAAGAACAAATAATATCCACCAGAGTATTGGATTGTGTTTTTATAGGTATGTCTTACTCAGAATATTTAACACTTGTCTCCTGTTACATATAGAGTTGCTAAGGATTAAACAAACTGTAAGAAGGAATAGGGCTGTGCATTAGTAAAGCAATAATATTTCAAATAATATAGCTCCTACGTTTTCTGTAATGCTTAATGTTACAAGATTGTTTTATGTATCATTCAACCAGGAGCTAGCAAGCAGGGATTAGCATGTATCTGTCTAGCAGATAACCTTTTTCTTATTGCATCTACTGCAGATTTTCCACCCTTTGAAGGATCAGTTTTCAGGCACTGGGCAAGGTGGGCTTAATCTGACATTTCTAATATTCTGAAGGAATCACAGTTTTATTGTCAGCAAAGCTCAGATGCCTTTATGTGGCTCTGAAATTTCACAAGGTGGTTCTCAATGCAATGCTAAAGCAGCAGGTTTTTTGGGAGCAGATCTTAATCTGATGCAAGTGAGTGTTTCTTGTTTTGTTGACTTCAGTGCCGATTTAATTTATGTTGTCTAAAATCCAAGGTTTTCGCTTGCTTTGCTTTTATGTAATAATATCTTTCTGGCAACATTTCTAATTTCTACACTGTGAGCCTGTGTGGTGTAGTGGCCCAGACTAGGAGCCGAGAGACCAGGGTTTGAATCTCCATTCAGCCATTAACCCCATTAACCTCACTGGGTGACCAGTCACTGCCTCTTAGCCCAGCCTACTTCACAAGGTTGTCGTGGGGATTTATTGGGGTGGGGAACAACGTATGCCACTTTGAGCTCCTTGGAGAAACAGGTGGGATATAAATGATAATAGTGATAACTAAAAATAAGCAAGGATCCTCATGAAGATTTGCAGCTAAATATTGTTTCTGTCCTTATTACCATTTCAGCCTTCGTGTGTGTGTGTGTGTGTGTGTGTGTGTAATAGCAGGTGGAATTGGCCATAATGCAGAATTCTAATTAGTGGTGTTTTCACTTCTCTTGCCTGAATAGGCTTCTCTCAAGAGAGAGGCAGGGAAAATCGTAGCAGAGAAAGGACAAATCAATGCTGATAGACTCCTACTAATCCCTGAGGCCATTGTGTGCTAGGGCAGAGAAGCAGAGTTACCTGGCTGTCACCTGTTTGGTAGAGAGTGAGGTCAGGGTTTGTTCAAGCAGGTGCAGAAGCTGTTGTTTACTTAGCAAGGTTAGCAGCTGCTGGCTCAGAGCAATTAAATAATATGTTCAGGAGGAGGTTGCCAGGTGCCGGCTGTCCTGTATGTTATGACAAGCAGGCCAAAATTTCATGTAAACACCTGCCAGCATCCCAGACAAACCTCAGTTAACGGACTGTTATGTACCTGCCATTAAACCATTTGTGGGTTTAGCTGACAGCTTTGTGAGTTCACTGGCTGTCATGTCAAAAGTTTCAAAAGATAAGATATGCAGTGAAGGGTTTCCTTATTTTTCAACAGGTGTGAGAGGAGAATGTTTTTGAAATCCCATGGTAATTGTAGACTTTGCCATTTCAGTGTGATGAAGACAGATGTTCAGCTGGTTTGAGCCAGCCAAACACCATTAACTGGGGTGGAACGACACCAATTTACACCATCTCTAAGTCTGGCAGCAGCTAGACTTAAGGCTCTCAGCCATTTTCTTAATTTTTGTTCTACTAAGATCAATTTATCCGCCCTCCCCACAAAAAAACATTTGCAGACCAGATATTGTTTCTTACTGCTTCATAGTTATTCAAATGCTCACATTTTAAGACATAGTCTCTTAGCCCCAGCTGCTCATCTGCATTATGAGGTAAATTGTGGCATTGAGTTGTAGCACTTATTTCTGAAATGATGTACATAAAGAGCCTTGAACATTAAAAAAGTAACTCATAACACTCATCTAGCCTTAAAAAGGGATAACAACAATAAAACTACCCCCCCCACTTGTGAACCTTTTGCTTTGCATTTCACTTTTTAAAAGATTGTGTAAATAGCAATACAGCTATTTATTTATTACAATTATTCTCTCCACTGAAAGGCTATCACCTTCCTTAATTAAATATGAAAGTAGTAGGAATCCATGAGTTGGGGTGGATCTGTGGCGCTACTCTCCCCACACTGAGGTGGCTGCAGCTTACCTGGATGGGGAAGTGGGGTGTCAGTGTCGTGTCTGTGTGGGTGCACCAGCAGAGCCACTACAGTGCACCCACACATCCTTGACCTTGCCTCTATCCTGCCTGCCACCTCAGCTCCATCTGAGGAAAGCTGAGGTGGCACCAGTGTCAGGAGAGTGCCTTCGCAGCTCTGCCTCACACAGCCTATGCCCACTTTGGTTTCTCATTGGGCATTATTGGGACTATTTTGCAAAGGCTGTTAGTATAGTTGGAGTAGACATTCACTGATCATCCAGATCAACCCTGATAAATCCAGTTTAAGGTTATACACCCATGAAAGCAAATCAAAGCTGTGTGCATGATTCCTCGGCCTAAATCAGAGGAAGATCACTTACATTCCAGCAAATGAGCTGGACTTCTGCTGATCAGCTCTTCAGGGATTTGTGATTTCATGCATTTCATTTTACACATCCTTACCAAAGAGCTGCTTTGTAGCTTCTTTTATCAGACTAGAAAACCTGATTAAAAACTTCAGATAGGCACACAGATTATGCAATTCCCCCCACTCCCAGATACAGATGTCACCAAAAGCTCAAAAGAATTGGAGCTAACAGCTGAAGTCTTAACTATTCACACAGGCCCTTGGTCACCACATTGCTGAATACATATTCTGACTTTATTTATGCTGATATGTTTTACAGTGGTACCTCGGGTTACATACGCTTCAGGTTACAGACGCTTCAGGTTACAGACTCCGCTAACCCAGAAATAGTAACTTGGGTTAAGAACTTTGCTTCAGGATGAAAACAGAAATCGTGCTCCGGCGGCGCAGCAGCACCTGGATGTTGATTTAAAGCAGAGTCTGTCGTGCCCAGCGGAAGGATGAGGAAAATGTGTTACATACTCTATATTGCTTTATTTACAGTTCAAAGCTGGTACATTACAGAAAGACATCTTGCCTCTGCAGGAGCAGAAAAATGCATCCTCTCTCCTCAACAGCTTGGAGAGAAGCACACAGAGAAAAACAGGAAACCAGTGTACGTCACATCCAGTCTCCCTTTCCCGTGAGAAACTCCAACAGTACAGACTGTGGAATGTAAACACCTGTCTTGTGACTGCAGTTGCTGCACAGTGAAGGAAATAGAAACCAACATCCTCCCCCTTTCTGTGAACATCACTGGGCAGCGTGTTTGCACAATATCAGTACAAACCCAACTTCTGCACATAGGTACAGTGTTGATCCCTTGATACAATCTTGGACAATACATCAGCAGGAATTTCATTACCTGGCATATAGGACACCGTTACGAGTCCCTTCTGAATACATTCCCTAGCATGCTGCAACTTTAATTGCAAGTGCTTTGTGCTTTGCTTACAACCTTCAGACTTCAGCAAAGCCAAACATGCTTTGTTGTCCTGGTAAACCTGGATTGGACATTTGACAGGAATTTTCATATCTTTGCACAATTGTACTAACCATTCACAATCCTTAAGTGAATAAGACAGTGCATTCAGTTCAGCTTCACAAGTACTTAAGCTAACTGTTGTTTGCTTCTTGCATGACCAATCAAACAGACTCTGATTGTACATGTAGCAAACTCCAGACGTACTTTTCCTGTCTGTAGTGTCACTTCCAAAATTTGCATCTGCAAATATCTCAAGACCACCAGACTTCTGATTGTTAAATCTCAGTCTGTAATGCATAGTGCCTTTCAAATACCGCGCTATGCGTTTCAGAGCTTTCCAATCCTTGACACTAGGATTGTTGACTTGTCTGCTTAGCAAATTACAGCTAACAGCAATGTCTGGTCTTGAACATCTGGCAATGAAGTTTAGCTTGCCTAGCACACTCCTGTACAGTGTAGTGTCAGAAAATGCTTCTTCAGTGTCATCTACCTGATAACCTGTTGTCATCGGTGTGTCTACAGGGTTAGCATCCATCAGATTTAGTTTGCTTAACACATCAGCAATTTTCCGTGACTGGTGTACTAGAATGTTACCATCTTGATCTCTCTCTATTTCCAGAGATAGGTAGTTGTTTACCTCACCAAGATCTTTCATGTCAAAATGCTCTTTCAGTTGAGCTAGGGCGCTATTGTACATCGCGACATCTTTCCAAAAGAATAATAAATCATCAACATAAAACAAACAGTACAGTTTCTTTTGCCCCTCCTCTTTGACAAATACACATGGATCAGCTTTCCCTTGCTGAAAACCTAGAGAAAACAATACTTCAGTGAGTTTTGTGTGCCAACACCGTGCACTTTGTTTGAGACCATAAAGGGATTTCTTCAGAGCACAAACAAATCCCTGTTTTACCTGTACGCCATCAGGTGGAAGCATATAAAGTGATTCATCTAGAGATCCGTACAGAAAAGCTGTATTAATATCATGGTGACTAATGTGTAGATTTTCCTCTGCAGCTAGCTTGAGCATAAGCCTAATGCTTTCATATCTCACTGTGGGTGAATAGGTCTCGTGATAGTCTTCACCTGGTACCTGTGCAAAACCTCTGGCTACCAATCTGGCTTTGTGTCTGACTATCTTGCCATTTTGATCTGTCTTCGCTTTGAAGACCCATTTGCTTCCAAGCAGTTTCATTCCTGGAACTACTGGAACTAGCTCCCATGTTTTGTTCCTTTCTAAGGAATCAAGCTCAGCCTTCATGGCATTTAACCATGGCTCAGCTTCCTTTGAATCCAAACCCTGGATTTCTTGGAAACTTGAAGGTTCAAATACCTTCTTGGAGCTTTTAACAGCTGTTACTGCTATCTTAGCAAACTCATCAGCAAATCTCTTTGGAGGTTTGCCTTTTGTGGCTCTCTGTGACCTACGAATTATCCTTAAGTCTTCAACACTCTCCTCTTCCTTCTTAGGAGAAAAACGACCTATTGTGAACAATGGTTCCTCCAATTCTTGATCAGAGCTTTCAGAGGGTCGCATAGAGGCTTTCGCACTCTTGAAATCCTCTGAATCACCCGATTCAGTTTCAGATTCAGACTCAGAACCTTCATCAGTGGGTGTGGGTTGTTGTGGTTGCTTTTGACTATCCTCAGTCTCATCACCGTCATCAGGATAACATTGGAAAATTCCCACATTCTCCCCCCACTTTGCATTGTACTCAACACTTCTCGTGAGCTTAATTGTTTTAGAGTCAGTCATCATTATTCTGTAAGACCCTTTCTGATAACCTAGAAAGATACCATGCAATCCACGCTTGTCTAACTTGGAGTTTTGTGGTGAGTGAACCCACATGTCAGAACCAAAAATCTTCATGTGTTTGATGTATGGCTTCTTGCCAAACATCTTCTCATAGGGGGTACAACCAATCGCTGAAGATAATCTGCGATTGTAACTGTAAACAAAACACGAGAGAGATTCGGCCCAATAACTCTCTGGAAGATTGGCATCATGCAGCAAGGTTTTTAGACCTTGAAGCAATGTCTGATTTGCCCGTTCCGCAAGTCCATTCTGCCATGGCGAGCGAGGACTAGACAAATCGTGTTGAATTCCTTTCTCAGTCAGAAAAGCTTCAAACTGCTGAGAAGTGAATTCCCCCCCGCGATCACTGAAAAGAGTCTTTATCTTCTTACCATGCACATTTTCCAACCAAGCACAGAATTCCTTGAACCTAGGAAAAGCCTCCGATTTCTGCTTGAGATTGTACACAAAAATATATCTAGAAAATGCATCAATGAGAACCATGAAGTATCTATTTCCACCCAAAGAGGGCGTTAGTGGTCCAACCAAATCAGCATGAACAACCTGGTATGGTTCTGTAGCTTTCCTACTAGACACCTTACCTTTCGCAGCCATTTTCACCTTGTTTGCTGCGCATGCTTTGCACTTCATGTGGTACCTGCAGGGTTTAATAGTCATACCTTCAACCAAGGCAGGCATTTTAGATACTGCCTCAAAATGCAAATGACCAAATTTGCGATGAAAATCGTGAATACATTCTGCATGCAAACTTTTGTTAGAACCTGCAATGCAACAAGTGTCATCCTGCACCACATCATCATAATACAAAACAAACAAATGATCAACATACTCTGCATGCAATACATAATCATTTTTCTTTGTGATGATGCACTTCTTGTTCTTGAAGGAAACGTCAATGTTCCGCTCATTCAGCTGTCCAACGCTGAGCAGATTATGTTTGGCGTCTGGCACGTAAAGCACATTCTGTATCGATAAGTCCAAACTGTGAAGAACAACAGTTCCGTAGCCTTTACTGGGAATAGTGTGGTCATCCGCCTGGTGAATCGCACCTTCCTGCGGTGTAAAAGACACAAACAGTTTTTTATCGTTGCACATGTGGTGGGTGGCCGCTGAATCAACAACGAAGAAAGATCTAGACGTTTTCTGGACCTCTGCAACCTTTGGAGTGAAGCGTGAAACCATAGCCTTGTGCTGCATTGTCCTAGACACCGGACCTTTGCCTTTGCCTCGGCCTTTTCCGCGCGATGAGCTTTCGCTGCGCTGCTCTGTCTTGGCCCTGGGATGTCTGCATTCCCTCTTCATATGGCCTAGACGTCCACACGAGTAGCATTTCACTGCCTGCAAAGCTTTGGCGCCATCTGGTGGTTCCACTGCACTATGGGATGACGTCTGTGAAGACTCCCCTTTGCCCATGCAGCTAGCACCCCGGCGATCTGCTTCATTTAAAATCACGGCAGTAACAAAGTCCACTGTCAGCTGAGCAGTTGGTTGCACAGCAATCTGGGTTGCAACAGACTCCCAACCTGAACCCAAAGATTGTAGTATCATGAAAGAATACACAGCCTCTGGAAAGTTGAGTCCTCTCTGTTGCAGCTCATGTCTCAGATTTTGCATCTCCATCAGATGTAAACGCACATCTCCACCTTCAGCAAGAGCCATATTGTGCAGCTTGTTAAAGTAATACATAGTGGATCCAGCTTCTGTCCTTAAGTGAGCCTCTCTCAGAGCGTCCCAAATCTCTCTGGCTGAGGTCTTATCACGCAATAGACAGAGCTCTTCTGGGGATACTATCAATGTAAGAGTTCCCTTGCTTTGGAATCCTTAGCTTCCCATACATCTGTAACTGGAACTGGGGGGGTTCCTGTAATCACCTCAAACAAACCCTCTTTCCGCAGAATTGCCTCTGCATACTGAACCCAGTCGCTGTAATTATTCTTGTTGAGCTTAGGAATCCCACAAGCATCCTGAAGGGCCATCATGACTCTGGCATTAGCCTTCAGCGTCATATTTATGCTGCTTTAAATCTTGCTGCGTCACTGCTGCAGCTGCTTCATTACAAAGGCACACTTAAAAGTTACTTTCGATTTCCCCAGCATAGTGACTTGTGCCTGGGAGTCTTTTGCCTATTCCCGGCAAAACCGGCTTTAAAAGTTCAAAGTCCAGCCATAAAGCCATTAACTTGAAGCTGGCAGGCTGCCCGGAGCAGTAGCACATACCTCATCAATCACTTCTACGCGCAGAGCAGATTCCGTTCCGATCTGTTCCTCTGCATTCCGATCCTTTGCCGGCACTCCGATTCGACCTCTGGAGTCCATAACCACGTGTTGATTTAAAGCAGAGTCTGTCGTGCCCAGCGGAAGGATGAGGAAAATGTGTTACATACTCTATATTGCTTTATTTACAGTTCAAAGCTGGTACATTACAGAAAGACATCTTGCCTCTGCAGGAGCAGAAAAATGCATCCTCTCTCCTCAACAGCTTGGAGAGAAGCACACAGAGAAAAAACAGGAAACCAGTGTACGTCACATCCAGTCTCCCTTTCCCGTGAGAAACTCCAACAGTACAGACTGTGGAATGTAAACACCTGTCTTGTGACTGCAGTTGCTGCACAGTGAAGGAAATAGAAACCAACACTGGAGACCCCATTAGCTAGAGTGGTGCTTCAGGTTAAGAACAGTTTCAGGTTAAGAACGGACCTCCGGAACGAATTAAGTACTTAACCCAAGGTACCACTGTATTGATAATGTGATTGTATTTTAGTGACATAGTATCTCACTTCGGTAGTGAAAAGTGGGTAATAAATTTCATAAATAATCAAACAAATATGAACTGTGTTAAGATTGAGGCCGTTAGCCTAAAGACTCATTGTGCTTTGTCTCCTGGCAGTCTGGGGGCTTGCCCAACAGATTCAGAGACAAAGCACTTTCTATTAAGGAGGAAAAGCCTGACAGAGAGAATGTAGTTGCTCTGAAAACCTTGATTTATTCCTGTGGGCAACACCAAGGGAAACTTTGACTCCTATTCATTATCACTCCACATCACCCACAATAGGAACTCAAACCACCACTTGTAAATTACTGCTATAAAATATACAAAGCTTACTATGAGACAGAAATCTATGTGTGTCACTGAAAAACTTCATTAAATACAAAGCCAAATTATATGCTGATATAATTCGCAACAGCATTGGAACAGTTAGAGTGCCATACCTGGCTCTTTACTGTCTCCATAAATGTTTATAACAGCCTAAAGGCTGCTCTGCACTCTGCCAGATAATTGTTCTCAAGGGGGACACCCACCAGCTAAGAAGAAATGGAGCACAATAAAGTGTATTTGGCTACAGCTCCTCAATCCCAGCCCAGCTCTGATGCTGGATGAGTTGCATGGCTCGTTGGTCTAGGGGTATGATTCTCGCTTAGGGTACGAGAGGTCTCAGGTTCAAATCCCGGATGAGCCCTACCTTTGGGAGACATGGGTGGCACTGTGGTCTGAACTACTGAGCTTCTTGGGCTTGCTGATCAGAAGGTTTGTGGTTCGAATCCCCGCGACGGGGTGAGCTCCCATTGCTCTGTCCCAGCTCCTGCCAACCTACCAGTTCAAAAGCAGTGCAATTAGATAAATAGGTACCGCTGTGGTGGGAAAGTAAACAGTGTTTCTGTGCGCTCTGGTTTCCGTCACCGTGTCCAGTTGATCCAGAAGCAGTTTAGTCATGTTGGCCACATGACCTGGAAAGCTGTCTGTAGACAAACGCTGGCTCCCTTGGCCTGAAAAGATAGATGAACATTGCAACCCCATAGTTGCCTTTGACTGGGCTTAACCATCCAGGGGTCCTTTACCTTTACCATGGAGAAGTAGCTGATAAGAGTAGAAGATAATTTTGTGACATATGCTACTTAAACATACCAGACTGTTTTTACCCCACCAATTATAGAAAATGTCTTTGCTTGCCATTCATTCCAGCAAGACACATTTGATTTCAACATTTGATGCAGATATTCATTATGTATACTGTTGCTGTTTGCACAATCTTTGGATGTAGTAATGTGACACAACTGCTGCCTCCTGAATATATTCAGCTACTGCTATTTGGGTGGCTTATTTTAGCTCAGTGTAGTGATAGTTACCAGTATTCCCCAGAATCTGAAATCCAGCAAAGACTATGAGTCTAGCACCACAAATTTAAAGCCAGATGCCCCCAAAGCAATTTGCAGTCCATCAACAGATGTCATGGACTGGTTGGATGCAGAGGAAATGGTGGGGGGAACCAGCTGGGGAACCCCCAAGGGAAGAAGGCTCAGAGCCCGGGGATTGGTGGTGGGACGATGATGAGTTGTCAGAGGAAGAAGATTAGGAGGAGGAGGTTGAAGAGGTTTGGTGGGAAAGGAGAATCTGTGACAGAGAGAAGTCCAGAAGCAGAAGCAAGAGAGTGGGATGAGGGTGGCCAAGAAGTAGATAGGAGTTAGGCTGGCAAGGAAGCACGGGTGTCTCCCCCTCCTGCTGCAACAAGCTCCTCTCCTCCCTCGTCTCCAAGGACCCAGAGAGGCATGAAGCGGGAGGAGCAGAGACAGGCACACAGACACAGTCTCAGATTGCTTGGGAAAACCCTGAGAGAGGAGGGAACTTATGCAGGGAACTTATGGGGGCCTTCAGTCTCCATAACTGCCTATAAGGGCAATTCTTCATTAGGTCTGGCACTCCTTTGCAGATCATATTTTTTTGAATAAAGAGTTAACTTTACCTACTCCGCATGATTTACTGCTGGCTCGCTCCTGACAACAGATTGTAGAGGTTCAGATTTTTGGTATTTGACATTGGGAGATTTCAAATCTATGACCTTAGTTACAAAACAAGTATGCTCATGCAAATTGGAACAATCTTTTTCTGTCTCCTTTAATGAAAGACCACTTTTAAAACCCAAAATCACATAAAGAGATGATGAGTGTGTATAAAGAAACCCAATGACCTATGGATTTTCCAAGAGGGGAATTGATTTCTTGCATGTATTTATTATTTCGTATTAAAAGCACTTTTATAGCACTCTGAATTTTCCAGAAAATACCAAAGAGGTTCCCACACAGCATATTAACAGATCTTAGCAATAATATCACAGTAACCAAAGACAATAGGAACCAGCGCTAGCAGACTTTAGAAAGCTTAGGTAAACGGATACATTTTAATTTTATGGTGGAAACACTTCACCTGGGGTGCCAGCCTAATCTCAGTACAGAGAGCACTGGAATGGAAAAGGCCCTTTTCTGGAAGATCCCCACAAAACTGTGAGGCAGCAGGAGTATTCAAACATGCAAAATATAAAGTCTGGAGAGTTATATTTTAGGAATGGTTTTCATTTGCAATGAGTTGTCTAAGAGTAGGTTAAACAAGCATTTAATCCATGAATTCAGTCCTTGCTGTAGGAAACTTCAATTTTGGGTGTATGTACAATGCCGCCTATCACTGGGGATGAGCTTGGGTATTCTCTGACAATGATTCCTGGTTCCAGGGGTTGGGGAGTTAGGTATGATGACCTATGAGATCCTTTTTGCTCCCTGCTTTTTCTAGTTCTGTGACATTAATTATACACTACTGAGGATTTAGTCTTCTTACAGTCACACCACTTGACCTTGTTGTTGGCATCTGTCTGTCTCAAGAGACAATGGAGTGTGCCTCAAGGGGCTAAACTGAAATGCTGTGTTAGCAGCTCCAAAGTGGCCTCCCCGGGATGCAAGCCTGGGCAATGTGTATGCATGCCCTGGGCTGCCCAGGCAACAAACGTGACCTGTTCCACAGATAAAAGGGCATGTCTTTGAGTTCTGTATAGAGCAGCAAGCAGTCCAATATATATTTACCCTCAAAGCTCATATGATCCAATGCAAATTATGTTTTGCAGAGCTCTAAGGAAAAAATGCAAAAGGGTTCCTTTTGAAATATCTAGGGAAGAAAACATGAGGTAAAGAGGCAGTGCTTCCAATGCACAATTTACACAGCTAAAATGATCTTTGGCATTGTGACCAAAATCACCTTTCTATGTAAATGTTGCATACCCTGCTTCTGCCGCCCTAGCTACAAAAGAGATGTACAACTGTCAGCTTCAGGAATGGCATGAAACGTGTCCGCTCTCTGTTGAGCGACTTGGCAGACTTAGGCTGTCATTTTCACTTCATACATTTGAGCATGGGCATTTCATTTTAGGAGGAAGGAAGCTCTACTTCTAATTGTGAGAGAAACTCTCTGTAGGAAGGATGGAAATTGGACAATCAAAGAAAATTGGCCTTTCAGCACTGAGGAGGTCAAATCTGAAACTTTTCTTGGAGGTTTGTATTCTCGTGGTTGATTGAAATGTGTGATGTTTCAGAAGGAAACGTCAGTTCCATTCTGCTATATGTTTATTTGTAGATGTACAGCAAAAAACGAAATGAAAGAAAAAAACCCATCACTGGCAGGTGTAAAAGCTAGCCATCAGAGAATATCAGCATGTCTGACAGCAAGTCCTGCAAGAAGTTAAAATGAAAGGAGAGGCTGCTGGTTGTTAGCAGTTGCAATGTTCCTCTGGGGCATCTCAAATGGGCTATAGTTTTGGTAGAACACAGTCCTAGCATCAGGAGCAGATGAGGACCTCTGCCAAGAGCAATCTGCTCCTCTGCTGACAGCTTGCTCTTGCTGGAAGCAAGAGAGAAAGACAAGAGGGTGTCAGAGAGAAAAGAGGTGAACTGACCTACTTTAGGCTCTGGCCCCACCCACGGCCAGCAGGCAGACCCTGAAAGGAAGAGGCATCTTTGCAGAATTTTTTGCCCCTTCCTCCTACATCACAGACTGAAATTTGATCAAGTTTGAGCTGAACCTCAAATCCCAGATCTCTTACGAATGTACTGAAAAGCTCTAAAAAAGTGACAATTTCAAGTCTGTATCATGATTTTTTCAAGGACAGTTTCACCTTTTACACATTTAGGCAGAACTGTTTAACGGCAATAATACCACAGAACTAGTCCCACATCTCCACAATCTTCCATGTTTGTTCATGTGATGGAAGTCTAAAGACAAGTTGCTCACTTCAAATATATATATATGTGTGCAGGTCATGTTTGCAACAGGTCACTTAGCATAGGGGACATCTGACTTGACAGCAGTACATATAAAAAGGATCTAAGGGTCTCAGTAGATCACAAGCTTAATGTGAGTCAACAGAAGTATAGTGTCCAGATCAAGGGAAGTAATGGTACTGCTCTCTTCTGCCTTGGTCAGACCCCACTTGGAATACTGTGTCCAGTTCTGGGCACAGCAGTTTAAGGAGTATATCAACAAGCTGGAACATGGACAAAGGAGGGTGACCCAGATGATCAACAGTCTGAAAACAGCCTTACGAGGAATGGTTGAGGGAGTTGGGTCTATTTAGCCTGGAAAAGAGGTGATATGATAGCCATATTCAAGTATCTAAAGGGCTGATTTCTGCTGCTCCAGAGGGTGGTACCCTAACCAATGGATTCAAATTACAAGAAAGGAGATTACCACTAAACACCAGAAATACCTTTTTGACAGGAAGAGCTGTTTGGCAGTGGAACGGAATACCTCAGAAGTTGGTGGACTCACCTTCATTGGAGAATTTTAAATAGAGGTTGGATAGCCGTCTGTCAGGAATAC